TATAATCTCCTTTAAGTGCGGGCCCGTCGGTTTTTGTCCACTTGTATTCCTTTTTCATCTCGCCGTCAGTGATTCACAGAAGCGATTTTTGCTACCAAAAGAAGAGGCATTCTACCATCGATCCAGAACGGAAGCTACAACTTTGGCCAAAAAGCTGATTCCCTGCTTGGCTTCCGTGTAACAGTTAGAAGGAGCTATTGTGAGAAGTATTTCACGAAATATACAACCCTTCACGAGAATAGCAAGTGTGCCCTTAGCCAAAACAATCAAAAACTGCCAGATATAAATACAGCCCTTAGTAAAGTTCATAGCTTTTTGACGTCACTATAGAAACGTGTTAATCGTATAGTGAGTGGATGGCAACATTACGCTTACTACCCTTCAAAGACCCGATTACCCCAATTATCTCTAGCTTTAGATCGTACTGTGTGCTCAAGACTGCAGTCTACTGGTACCCCCTTCCTTTTATCGCCAACCATAATGACCCAGACAAGGACTTCTGTTCTGTTTATGATGCTACTTATAATTTTCTTTTAGCGAGGCGCTTGCGTCATGTAGATCGGCAGTGCCAAACGCGCTTGGGCTTGGTGGCAGGTGTCAGTGTCGAGATAACGCATCTCATCATCACCGATTATGTTGCAGATGCACCGTAGCGTGTTGACTGCGTTATGAGTGGGTAAACGCGAATCTGTAGGTAACGTATTTTTGACCAGCGTATACCAATCGGGCAACGGCGACGATATAGCAGCGGCTGTTCTGTTGATATCGTATAATATGTTTCATTTCCCAATAGAGAAACGATGAATGAGTATAGAAGTCAAGGGCTGTATGTACCCAAGAAGTGATTTGTTTGTTGTTAAGTGGCCATTGTGCCAGGCACACGAGATGTACCGATACTTAGTTATAGATGTACTACCGAGCATGCATATCTATCGAATAAAGGGAATTTTAGCGGAATCTATAAGAGGGTTGTAAACAAAAAACAAAGGGCTGAATTAGCCATTTTGAGCTGGTTACAAGCATGGACCAGTGAAACAGCCAATAGCCAAACAAGCTCAACTGCAGCAGGATAGAGTCGATGGGCGGATGGTAAATAGCCACATCTCTCTAGGCGAATCGGCCAGAATATCAGGAGAGGCCAATCGTATAACTGACAGATGCAGGCTACATCGCACTCATGTACAGCACACGACTGGCAAGTTGCCATGTGACCTTACCTTCCCTGATTTTCCTACGACTTGGTATTGCCTGTGGTGATCACAGCGACCGAGTGCTAGGAGGAGATGGACAAAGATTAGAATTAATATTAGGGTGTATGTTTGTGTGCGAGAGAGCGGATGGGTGGATGCTCGTACGACGTGTACGGTCATAATGAAATGGGCCAGCACTCTTTAGTGGCAGACACAACGCTGCTTACAAATGATAGATATGATGATACAGACGCTATTGTGGCAAAGAATACAGGGAAAGGATGAATTATACACTTATACAAGTGTGCCGGAGAGTGTGAAATTATCATTTTCGTTTCTACCACAATGAATAAAATATGGTTGTAGTATGACCGGGTTCTATGAAGTCGAAGTCTCGAAACGTATTCCTCGGCAAAACCGAGCTATATTGCAAAACAGCGGAGTGCTGATGGTCGATTAAATTAGGTTACGGCTCATTCTGTTTTCATATCTGTAAATACTAGACAATAGTTACGGTATGAGACGTCTTAAATGCATTTTATATCATTTGATTTAGTGTGGGCGCGCATCGATTTAGTAAGTTCGACGTCAATTCAAAACGAAGTAGCCTCGAGGAGCTTTGCAAACTTTTCGGAGATACGATTTTCGTCGAACAGGTTGTTTCGCCACTGACCTTTTCAGTAGACATTACACAGTGTTCTCGGCGGTATCCGCGGTGAACTTCAAGCAGAACGGGTGCGTTGAAACTGCAAAGATCGCAACGTAATCTTCTTTCGGAGATGTATAAATTTCGGCGAACGTCTTCCCACAAACACAGACGACTAACCACTTCTTTCAATTATTCCAGACTTTACCGCAAATAAAGTTGTCCATATAACTGGAAGCTGCGTGGCTGCCTGTTTTCTATTCTAATTTATCTAGCTCTTGTAACTAAATTAGAGGATCGGATTAAATCGTGAGTGGTAGAGAGTGCCACCGTTCATCCGAAATCGTTCCTACACGCCGTAGCTCCATGTCTCAGCTGATATTCAGTGATTTTTGAGAAAATGTCTGAGCGCTTAGTGTTTAGTCGATCGTGCATTTCGTTGTCACCCATTATGGTCTTGGTTGTCATTTTGTCGCAGACAAAACTATCCACTACGACGCTGTTAACGTTGAAAGGTCTCACTCCTAACGCTATCGACTTAGGCAGTCGGTAGCGTCATTCCACTGTCTGTGCACAGACGAAATCAAACTAATTGCTATTATTGACTATACCCAAATACCTCGCGTCTGATTCGGCTAAACCAAATGATATGAGCAAACAGCCACCCCACGTAGAAACCTCTGTAAAGTATGGCGTCATCGTATCGCGCTGACCGTCAGTTTTATACATCATCGATTGATCTATCTGCGTATACGCTGCGATGTTGCTTGTACGTAGTTTAAACAAATACTACCCGTGTTCACAAAATAGATTTTACTGGAAGTATGCGCAGAGGCAATTTCCTGTCAAAAACATGAACGATTGCGTTCCGCGGTGCGCCGCTGAACACTTCAGCTCGATTACCGATGAGACGTTGCTTAGCACAGGCCGAAACGTATAGTTATGTGTAAAGATTGTGGCGATACTTTGCAAAGATTCACTTGACAGACGTGTGTCAGGCTCCGTTGAAGCCTACCAGCGATGTTCATAGCGTGACCGTGAATATAGAACACTACGGGATTGGCCCGAGTTAAGTAAAAGGCCAATTTAGCTGAATCAGAATTGGGGTTGGATTGGCGAGAGTGTATTACTAACTAATCAATATGATTACAACTTCCCACTTGATTGACGCTCGAACTACTTTATTTATTCGACGTAACGAACCTCTTAATAAAAAGGAGGGCAAATGTCGGAATACGACGTAAGCAAATACCTACACTGGATTTGCGTACGAAACAGCACGTATGTTAATAAATCGCTACATGCAAGCAAGGGATCAAAAATTTGCTGTTACTGTTCTATTCGGCCTTTGGCACGTTGGCCGGAAATGCGTTTCAATGTTTTTTTCCCCTTTCTTTTCATTCAACCAATTTGCGTCTATCTATAATAGTTGTCAATTTGTTTGTGGCCAACGGAAGCCTTATCGATGTCTTGCTGGTCCGTTAAATACGATAAAGCTTTTCCTCTTGGCACAGTTGATCTGTGAATGGGCGTAGTGATTTTATGGTGCGGCCACTGAAAGCGGTACAGAGATCATCAGATCGCTATCGTTGTTACAGAGTACTCTGTAAGACATGTTTCAGATCATTGATGTGTGTGGGAGACGATTTTAGCTTTCTGCCACAGACTTGCTCACAGATGAAATCACCGCAAGTAGTTGTTAAAGCGATGTTTATAATCTGCCAAGGAGGCTACCGATTGAATTTCAGAATACACAGCGGGACAGGCAGTCGGCAGGGTTCGAGAAGACGTAAGTTGGAGCGTGCCTTCCTAGAAATCCGTCTAGTACTATGGGTCAAACTAATTCCGTTACCTCGACACAACTATTTGCAATAGAAGCCAGATCAATAGAAACAGGGAACGGCGAGAAATGCCGGCTCAATATTGAGATGAATTGATGGTGGTGGGCACTGCCTAAACGAAGCTTATAGCAACGGTGGAACCGTCCAGCTACGCTGTTTTAGATTAGTTGATAATGCGGCTAGGGCGGAATGTGGCATTTTACAAAGCACTGCTGGCTTTTGTTGGAACAATCCTGAAGCGTTTTAATAAAATGTACACTTGCGAAAACGTAGCCGACAAGAAGAACATAAAAAGATAGCAGGTAATGCCTTGGGAGCTACTACACTACAATGGGCATAGCTAATTCGGCAAAGAAAATGCCTTATTGCGTGGAAGACTTACCGAAGTTTTAGTTTATATCGGATCTTCAGGACTACTCGGCCGGCGACCTTTGCTAACTAAAAAAAAAAAGTGTTACGGTTTACACCAAGTCGCTTGTTGCAATAATTATTATACTTACTATACAGCTAACAAAGAAAAATTAGCAAATCTAAAACCAGCAGCTTTTTTCTTTAATTCCAAGAAGTTCATTATGGACGTAGTAAATTATTGCGTAGTTTTATTGCGCAAAGCAATAGAACTTTAGCTATATTTTACGCCAAATAGCGGGGTCAATCTTCATTCGATAATCATTAGACTTCCATTACAAATTTAAAATGTACCTTGAACGTCTATTGAGCGATTCATACGAATACGGCAAATGACTTCCATATTTGTTAACAGTGGTGCATTTTGCTAAACTTTTCAAAAGAATTATCTATTATCTTAATAATTTCTAATGTACGGCCCCCAACAAATACTTCTGTGGTGAGCAGATGTTTAGCGGTGCTTGTGTCTGGGTTCCGTCCACTTCAAATTCTCGCACATCCCCTCCCCTCTCCCCCTCCCCTTACCTCCATTCCATTCCAGGCTACCTTGCCCTAACACCGACAGAGAAGGCACCATTTTATTATGAAGAAGTGGTCGGGAGCCGGAAAGACTTATGAACCTGCGGAAAAACTGGCGTTGCGAGCTCCGGAGTGATTTGATGGAGCCACCGTGGACACCAATCGTGGTTTCCCCTTGAAGGAGGCGCAAGCGCCAATATAAGCCGTACCCGATCGTAACCGCTGTTAGAATGAAGTGACGGGTGTTTGGTACTGCCACTGCACCAGGCGAGTTTGACGGGGTGGGTCGGGTTGGGTTTTACTTGACTTGCGTTGACTAGCGCGTATTGGTAACGACGATACCGATACGACCGAAACCACCGTGGTGCGCCAGGACGTTATTCATCCCGCTGTTGATATGCGCTGGCTAGCGCTAGCAAGTAGCAAGAATGGCGCTCGACTATGGAGTAAAGGGAAGATCTATTCTTGAACGATGCGTCAACGACGCAGTGATTATAGCGAGCTGAGTGAGGTCCAAGCTGAGTCGGTAAGGGGTCCCGATCTGGAGCGCTTGGGCCGTGTCGTTGGATGGATGATGCATCGAAATGCTGTTCAAGCAACGATTGCTGGACGCTGGTCGTTTCCACTCGTATAGGAAAAATAGCTAAAGCCACTTGTTGACTTGGTACTTTTTGCAGATATAGCACAAATTATTTTTGTATCAATCATGCATAAAGATTCCTGAACCTTACGCAAGGTATTGAGCGATACTATATATTGTACAGCTGAGACGGCTGTCCAAACTAGAAGTCCAGGCCACTATTTTTAAGCCATTTTTATGGAATCGTTTTTACTTTGATCGGTCGATAACCAGATGTGTTGATTTACTGTCATCTGCTCAATTTCCCGTTTAACGGCCACAAAAAGAAACAACACAAACAATAAGTAAATACATACATGAAACATTTTTCCAAAATGAGTTTTTACGCTATGGGTTGTTATAAACGAAAGAAACTAATTTTTCTTATTTTTCATTGTTGAGTAGCATCGACTGATGTCTGGCGTACCAGCGATTCTATAATGCAATGCATTGGTCAGGTTTGGAGAAGCCCTTGTTAAAGGTCTGCTCTTGATCCCAACCAATGCATGGCCATTGGAGACTTGAACGATGCCCCGTCCTGTCTACAGTGCTCGAACAGATCCGATCGCTGAGAGTGGCTGGTACGTTACAGATTCTGCCTTGGGTGAAAAACGCTGTTTTATCGTCCTGAATTTAAGGAACGAAGAGTAAGTCATCTCGGCATCACTTGGTTTTATCTATTTCGTCAGACCGCTGACACACCGTATGTCGACACGGGACGATTTCAAATTAGAGACGTTGTTTTTGGAAAGAGCACCGATATTATATACCACTGTTCAGACTTGTTTTTGCTGTAGACCCTTTACAAATTCAAGTTTGAGAGATAGAGTTTTTGTTATTCGAATCTATATCCTACTTAATCTGATTGTTGAAAATATTTGTACGTTTTACGATATGTACACAGCCGGTTCTTTGTTCAGTTCGACGATTGGCTTCTGCAAGCTATTAATTAAAAACTAAGCCACCCTATTTATCCCAGATGCCGATTCCGGGAATATGTGGGATCTCGTGTCATTGAAATAGAAGTGACGGAACAGATCCGGAATTGTGCTCCGTCACTATTTTTGCCAGTCAGTCAAATAAAACCACTTGTATTACATACGGCAGACAATGTCTGAAAAGTCGAAGAACGATATTTGAGTAGCTAAACGCAGTGCAGTGTGCTATCCATGCATTTGAATCAGGTGAGAAAGAGAACGAGGACAAACAGTCAACGATAGAAAAATTGATTCTGGTTATGGGTTGCTTGTCTATAGGTTCCTAGCTTGTTATAGCTTAATGTAGATACACGATTTTCAGAAAGTATGAAAGGCATAGAGGGAGACAGAGCTGGCGACGGAGGCTACGAGGCAAGATCGTATCAAGGACGGGATAAATTTAGAAAGATACGCATATACATGTATATCAACGAGAAGCTTCGGTGAGACGAACACTGGACAAAAGGCTAAAAGAGGACGACGTGGCTGAATCGCGAAGGGCGATAGTAATGCTTAGGAGCAGTAAAGCAGTAATACTGCACGAAGCGGTGCCGGCGCCTTTAGCAACAGTAACTGTAGTGGACCGAGTCCAAGAAAAACACTTACTCGTGAAGAAGCGAACAGATTTAAAGGGATAATAAGGGAAACGCGGACAGGATGGCTGGAAAATGGTGTGGATGGTACGGAACAGAAAATACAAAGGGGATTAAATAGATAAGAACAGGGGTGACTAATCCTGATGCAGTAGACGAGGCAAACTCAAATAACCAAGCGTGGGCTTCGCGGGCCGGTCGGTTTGGCATTTTATCAAGCTCGGGGTGTGTATGTCTGGTGACGATGATGAGTAGATATAGACGTGTTTTGATAGCTCTGTGCAAGCTCTGGAAAAAGAGAGAAACGTTCACGGGATCGTACAATATTGCGTATGTGTTTATGGTCACGCAAAAAATAAGCTTGCATCATGTAAGCTGGCCTGTGTGTTCTTTTTTGCTGGCAGATAATGACATCGGCGGCGGCGGCGGCGGCGGCGACGACAAAGATACTCCGCGCATTGTGGCGTTCATGATTTTAAGCTTGAATATCATCATTATGGTTCCTGTCAGCTTCAAGACTGCGAACTTGAGAAATAACTAGAAGTGTTTAGCTCTAATCACTGAAAAACAGCTACGTTTTAAAGCTTACTTTGGTTATTTAGTAGTCAGAACAACCTCTATTAGAAACAACTTAAGAAAACCAACGACGTCATTCGCAGCGCGTACCGAGGGCCTGACTCAGCCATCGAACAGCAGGAAATAGCATGGATTTTAAAAAGTGATCTCCGATTAAACGTTATACACATCTAAGGCGCGTATGCTCATGTTAGGTCTCATTTTACCTGCGGCTGTGATTTCAGGTTTCAATGGAAATTTCAATGAGTCGTGTTGTGCAAACATTGATGTAGTCTCGAGTATGGCCTACAACAGAAGGCGCCAACCACCACCCCGAGGTAAGACCTTCGGTTATTTGACGTTAATGCATCTGACTCCATTCAATTTCCATCACATTTCGGCAGTAGTTTTATAGTGTTTCCGTTAACATATCCCACCATATGATATTAGGTCGTCATTTATTTAGCAAAGTGATGATTTGATCCAATCGACGACTTCAATCGTAACTTAAGACGTTCTTATATATTATAGCAACTGTTTTCAGCACACCCTCGCTTAATGCATACCGTCAAAGTAGCATTGCACCTATTCCAGACCGCATATTGACAAATCAATCTCTTCGTGAGCTTTCAATTTGTACAAGACTAAAGAGTTTCCCGACATTTTATTAGAACAGAAGGATATCTAACAGGGTTGATACTGCCAGTTCATACGTTTCTCTCTATGCCTGTCAAGGCTATTAGTTGCTACTTCGCCATTTGCAATTTTTGCCTATGAGTAGAATTTACAGTGTAAACTTGATGCTCAGCTTCAAGAACAGCCACCTTTCAAACTGTAAAGGACAGCTGCTGAAGTTAGCACAACTATCAAGTTGATCTACGGATTTGTTTTTCCTGTCTCAAGTTAGTGCTTCATGTGCTCTGCTACTTAAGATTTGCATGCAGGTATACTTATGCGTTCTAATTAAAGTATTGCTATTTCTATCAGTATCGCTATGATAGCCGTATTTCGTAGTTTCCAATTTACGCCACTGAGTCCTTCTAGAGGATATGCTCCGTTCTTATACTCAGGACTTTTTATAAGAAATAAATACTCTATACATGTGACGTTTTCGTTAGAAAGTTGAAATAATCAGTCGCTGTATGAAAACAAAAGCAAAATAGACCATTGGTTATTGCGTAACACCAGAACAAAAAAACTGAGCTCGCTTTTCCGACTCTAGAGATCGCTCTAGTGTTACGCTGGGGGGTGGGGGTGGGGGTGCTGGAGTAACTACACTAAGGGTAAGGTTTATCGGAAGCTGTGAATCCCTTTCTTAAACGTTACATGTAACCTTGCAAAAAAATTCGGTCGATCAATGGCCAACTTTGATAACGTCTCAATTTCCTGTCGTAGCTTTTTCTGATATGGTAGATGTTGTTTTCCTCGTGCTAGTTCGCCTATGAACGATAACAGGTACGCACACTCTGTGGAACCTGAAAGCAAAATGACTAGAATTAGTGCCAGTCAGTGCTTTTATGACCGGTCAGTAAATGCATATATTTGATTGGTTTGAAACGTTAGATGTTTGGCTTAGGAGACTGGCAGTCAGTCAGATCGAGTGGCATCATTTGGTGCTTTTTTCTTTGGTACCGCTAAGTCTTCCGTTACTGTTTTCTGTGAACCTCTATTAGCAATTCGAACGTTGCTTTTGCAGCGGTTACTCGAGAAGTGTTTTGTATTTAAATGTTCTACTTCGCATAGCTGACACTCGCTGAACTTAATCATGAAAGTATTTAAGGATTGCCACTGCACCATCTTCGGTTAAAGTTATATAGTGAATGGTCTACGCAAGTGATCTAACGGCTACCAGCCTCAACATCATTTCTATTACGTTGAGTCGTACATATAGGAAAATCAACTTTTTGAATAACAATTTGAGTTTCATTCGAGATGCAAATAGCACGTAATAATAACGACCTTCGTAATAACCTCTGTTTACATCCACTAATATACTGCTTTTGCTGACTAAAACCACTTCGTCATATTGGGTTACCCTATTTGGCATGCAGACACGTACTGGTTCGCTGGCGCTAGTCCGCATTCATCCTACGAAGGTCTATGGTCTCATCAGTTCTCGCCGGGTGGACGAGAAACTCATGGAGGAGGCATTGTTAGTGGGGCTCCCAGGGGTCGCTCCGTGTTGTCAGGAGGCCCACCAGCACCCCTCAGCCTGCCGCGACCCGCTTCGGACTGCTCCGACCTAGCAGAATCTGTCGACTCATATTCAATAGGAGCTCCGTCCACGGTTTCATCTGTAAAGTCTTCGAAACGTACGGGATTCAACCAGAGAAAATGGCGAATGAGATGCTTAGAATGAGGATAGATTTGAAATGCCTCCTCCGTTCATCGTGAATGAGTCTCCTTTTATTGTTAATCGTATCTGAATTGTTGACCGTGTCCTAGATTTGCTTGTGGGCAGCGCTGCTTTCTTCGTGATAGTAACGTTAGTAAGTGTAGTATGTCCTGAAACCTGCCACGCTATGCTTCAATTCAGCCCCAATGTCAAGCGGTTCTGGAAGCTTTGGATCGCTCTATACGGAAGAAAAGTAGACCAAGTTGGAATCCTGGAACCAGTTGCAGATTTCGATAACTACAACTTAATCTAACGTTCGGTGGATTAACATATATGCGTAAAATTTAGTGCTTGTTTCTGGAAATGTTGATTGTTTTTCGACTAGATATTTCTCATTGGTTTTGAACATGTCTTCCTATCCAGTACCCATAAAGTGTACTGTACATTTGCTTGTCTGTGACTACGATAGTAATTATCTGACCTAGTAGACTAATTTGCGAATGGCCTCAGCTAGAATCCACCTTTCGAAGCTAAACAAGTTTCTGGTTGAAGTATTAACTGGCGTTCGAAATAAAGAAGCCGTTGTCAACGAACTATTTTTCTTCGCTGATCAGTTTGTAGCAATGCTTTGTTGGGCAATATGCCGTCAGCAAGTGTTAAAGGAACTTGAAATCTTTAACAAATTTTCGCTATAGGAAAAGGACACATTTTATAGCACGTCTGAAGTCGATGACGATTTGTCTCAATGACACGATTTTATGCCGATCTCCAAATCGAGTGAGCATAAGCGACATCGCAAAAAGGGAAACGACAGCGAAGGCACGGCAAAAACTTTTACCTTTGCCCGTTTTTAACAGTCCTCTTATCGTTTAGAGACCGTTGCCCGGGTTCGCTGTCAACTACCGTAAACTAGAAGGAAAACATCTGTTGCGGTTAAATTTTCCGTCTGTATTGCTATACAAGTTTTCTTTGGAACGGCACTAACTAAATGTTATAGATCTATTCAGTTCTAACTTCATCTATCTTCCATGCGTCATGACTCGCCCACATCTCTATGGGGACCATAGTTTCAGTTGTACCATTAATGTACCACACAGGGAGGCTTGAGCGGCGTTTGCCAATGTCGAGCCGAACCATCAGGAAGTTGAGAACTGCAACTGTGCTAAAAACAAAAGTTGTGTGCAAAACCGTTATTATGACCCCTAGTACTTTTTTAACTGTACATATTGTAAGTATCCTTAGTAGGTATGCTGCTCTGTGTAACATGTTGCCGTTTAAGCCGTTATTTTTGTTATTGCGTCTTCGTTCATTATAGGCTCAACCAACCATCGCTGACCATTACAGCTTAGACGTTTACTAAAAAGTTTATTAGTTTAATCTTTTATGAACATGCTGCCCCCGCTGTCTTTGGTATACAGCGGGCAAACGCCACAAATTGTAAATGTTTTTTTTGTAGCCGTCCGTGGTTGGTTTCGTTGTTACTAGTGCCGCTACTACAGATGGTGTTTCGGTCCAGAGTATGCTAGTGTTTTCATTCCGTGTGAAATTGTCTGAAACCTCTGTAATTTTGACCCATCCAGTTGCACCTCATGTCCGGCTGGATGCTTATTTCAATGCGTTCCGTTGAGAATTTAAGACGATGGGTGTCTATTGGCTAAAAAATCTGCTGACTATAACAAGCCAAACAAGGAGATAGGAAACGTTGGATGGCCTAAAGGGGCAATGCCCTGCATAAGGCTGTTCCTTGTGTCGGTACATGCGCGTAAGTGTGTAAAGTGACGCATATAACCGCAATTTCTTTGTATTATAATAGAGAAAAAGTTAGCTAGGAGATCTCTCCGAGAAAGGTGAAACCGTGTCGGAAATCGTGCCTCACTTTAACTACTCTTTAGTAAACTTGAATGTTTAGCTGTTGCGTGTTTTAGGCGATTCCGTAATCGGGTTCTAGCTAATCGTGTAACAAGACCATGGTAATAGGAAACGTGTTTCTAAAAGCTGATGTATTTTGAACGTTTATCCTATTAAAGCATAGGGAAGAGCTTATGTTTCAGTAAAACACACACAGCACTCAACTTAATATTTTGTTCACTCTTTACTAAAAGGTATTTAATAGAAAAAAGCATGTTTGCAAAATAACCATTTGGATAAAGGTAATAATTTATACTGCATATAAATCAATCTGATAATGCTATATATATCTCTGCAATATTTGCAGTAGAAGGAAACATGAAGACGAAATTTCTAGCACACAAACACCTCAACCAATAAGTAGGTTTGGCGTAATTGCTAATTGTTTGTTATGAGTAGAAAAATAATTCATGAGTAGAAACGTATTTGCGTGACAAAAGTTGAACGCCTAAAGCAAAGTTTTTAGTAACGTAAAACTATGATTGAAAAGATATGCCTTATTTACCTGAGTGAGATCTTTCTACCTCTCTAGGAAGAGGTCGGGCCATTTGATTGAGATTACTCTCGATTGCTTCAGAAATCAGATTGTGCGGAGTAGGTCAGATCTAGCAGCCATGTATTACGTATAATAGATCAGATGTGTTCAAAATTGTTTCGATTTTCTCTTTACTTAGAAGGAATCAACTCCCTATTCCTACAAAGATGATTTCTCAAATTTTTCGTTTTGCTCTTATGATAAGGATCGTCGTTCACCCTTTCTTTTTCATCCCCGATACCGACTTTATGTAAAAACGACTTTGTTCTATCGTGGAAGCAGTGATCAATTATGCAATGGTCATGCAGCTCGCGATGGCACTTCAAAACCTGCAGTCCTCTCTGCCGTATGTCACCCAATGCTAGCAGGCCACTCATGGCAGTGACGCGCTTAACTATTAAACCTGTATTGATATATTTAAAAATGACTGGGCCAATAGGCTCCCGCCTCCGGGTTTGTGGTTCAAGTATGGATAGCCAGCTATAGGATGCCAAAAGTGGTCTTATCAGTGCTGGCAAATACTTAGTATTCACAATCGATCTCCACTTTTTTTTTTTAGCGGCGGATATGCTACTTTTCTCTTCGATAATTTAGTCGCCAAAAAAACGTTACCGGTCTGTGATCTATGAACCGGTCTAAAGTATGAACAGTGCGTTATACGCGGAACAAGCAGAGCATTATACGAAGAAAATATATAAAACGTATCGATAGCAATCTTATAAAATTAAAAAAAAAAATACTTTTCGACCGACTTAAATAGGCTTAGTCTAAAAAAAAAATGGAATATGTCTATCGATTCTACAGAGCCGATTCAGAGACGGAGCCGTTCGGGTCTAAACCGATTCGCTACCTTAATTGCCGAATTGGCTAGTTTCAAAGAGGATTCTCCCTCGGTTGAACACACTTACCTTGATACAATACGTACGTAGAACAGGCTGATGCATGCCGAATGTTAGTAGACGTAACGGAAGTACGTAAACTTCCTACAAAAGCTAACTTCATGTTTCACACCCGAATACAACCGTACCCTTCTGTAGTAATCAAGCTGACCTGTCACAAGTGAGCCGATATAATATTTGTGTCTTTCGATTGTTTATCGCTCACTCTGTAAGGTTTCGGAGCCAAAAGTGGACATTTTTTGCTTATGTACTCAAGCTGTTTCGGCCAAAGGCCGCCTATATTATTTATCGATGCGTAGCAATTTTCCTCGTAGGCATCTCGTGTCGTTATATATTACGATAAGTTCCATTATGTTTGTTGGTTATTTGTTTTTAGGCATGCTGCATTGCAAGTTGTACCTTATACGCTTTAAGAATGTACTCTTTTGGCCCATTTCTTGATCTAGGTACGCTGTTATATTAGTGTTGTAGCATTCAGTATAACTGTGCAATAAATTCATTAGGAAAATCGTATGGTTACTTTTATCTTATTTGGAATGTGACATAACGCTTTAGCAATGAGTTCAGCACAAAAAACACACATCTAGTCACAATATGCTTATTGCTCTTTTCTCTTAGTTTGTTTTTACCTGCTTTCCTTATTCACTGTATCTTTTTTTTCATCCTACCCCTCACTCTCGTACACTGTTTGAATGTGCCCTTGCCAATGAACATGTTTATGCCTATCGCTCTTTTCCAAACAATTCGGCCTCTGCTCATCCAATCCTGTTCCGCCGTACTTGCGATGCCCAACATATCCACGCTGTTCGCAACTCACGTGCGACAACACGACACGGATGGTCGCAGGGTCGTATTGGTTCGCCCAGTCGGGGTCGGACGTGATGGATTGTCTGCGCCATCCGTCATCAGCTGAAACTGGGCACCCCTCCAGTGTGAATCAACTATTGACCGCAGCCGTCGCAACACAAGCCCCACAGCAAGGACATCAACAACAACTGCTACAGCAGCAACATGGCGTCTCTGCCAACGCGGGACTCATGCACCAAACTCTTCAGCCTCATCACTCCACACAAGTACATTCAAGTTCTTCAAGTTTACAGATCGGTCAACAACAGCATCACACAGCGCAATCCCCGACCTCCGCATTGAACAGCTGGAATAGCGGCGGCACGCAAGCGAACACAGGTTTGGCTGCTAGATAGAGCTGATCGTTGAACAATAGAATCAAAAACAAAAGGGGAAAAACACCGGAGACTCACGTTCATATTGCTTACACTAAATTTGTAAAGGATAGCAGTAACTCGATTTCGAACATCTTATCCTGGGCTGGGTTTTCTGGGCTGATATCTAGTCGAAACAAAATTTGCCGATTCGCCCACAATATATATATATATATATATATATATATATCGCATTCCCTTTCTTGAAAAACATTTAAGGAAGCTATGTTGACATAGAACAGTTATAATGATGATGATGATATTCTAACAAAGGACGATGGTGATAGTCAGAGCTCGAGCTATTCCTCGTTAAGGAATACTCATGCCGTTCAACGGCCGTATGAGCACCAACAAACCCTACATGGCTTTGCCTTTCCTCAACACAGCAATAGCTCAACAAATGGCTCTACGGCGGAAGTTGTATACACAACTTGAGAGTGTACTCTTGATGAAAATTCATAAAATGTACCTTCTGTAAGGACATTAGGCATCGATTATAATACTGTTGCACCATGTAGATCTACATCAGGCAGAGCGGCTACGCGTGGAGGCCCGCGAGCGACAGGAGATGTTGCATCGGCGTCGAATGGAAGAGTTGGCAGCACATAACGAGAATGCGCAAAGAATCCGTGAAGAAGGTGATACCGATCGAAGACGACATAATCAAGAGCGTCAGGTGCTCACTGAAATTCACAGACAGCAGGTAGGTAATTGAGTAGATGAGCAAAAAGAAAACATGTTCGTTTCAGTAGTCGCTTCAAAGTGTAAATTCATTTAATTAGGCTATAGAAAAACAAAGGTCTTGCCATTTTCTGAGCTTATGTAACCAGTTTAAGTAACGGGGTATGGGCAAAGTATGGCGATATCCCGTCCTGAAAAGATCCCTATAGACTTCGAATAACACGCAATAGCGACCGTTTCGTCAGAATGGTGAACGGCCCGACCATAACTGATATCTATCTCCGCGCACGTGCGCCAAAGGTCTGCGTAATGACTTCATGCTAGGTTGTGGCACTTTGTGTGCATTACTAACAAACTATTAAAATTCAACTTTGATCGATAAATCTACCTGTCTGCCTGAAACGCAGTCACATGTTTCACTCTCGCGGAAACAAATCAGAAACAGTCGATTTCCCGCGAAAAAACCCACATAGTGTTGACTGCAAATATCTAATAAATGTATTGTTAGGTGGATGAACGTCGGCGTGCTTTGCACGAAGCTGACCAAGAGTGGCGCGAGGCCGTCTTGCGAAGGAGCCAGGAGAGGGATCTAAGGGCAGAGCAGTACCGAAGGAACCGACTCAGCGCGTCCATTCTTCTCGAGGGGATTCAGGCGCAACCGGCATCCGTCATGTCCAGTCCTGCACGGGGGGCCTCTGGTAAGATATAACAGTTTCAATTAAATAGAGGACCTTATTACTGCTCCATCAAAGCGAGGCATTTTACCTAGAGACGGTCTTAATTAGCATAAACAGTTTCACCGCAGAGTTCTCAGATGTAATCACACAAAGCTGTCCTAATAGAAGACGACAATTTCGGTTATTATGGAGCTTCCGCTACGCGCAGAGTGGTCTCCGACGGTGCATACCTGCCACTCTGGTAAGCTTACAATACTTAGCACGAGATTATAGATAGCGGTCTGTTGTTATATAATAGACAATTACCACTTGCCGTAATAGCCGTAGAAACCACAGTAGATTTGTTTTTGCTTGTGTTCCTATTTAGTTAGCTCTGCAAACAGCGTAAATCGCAAGACTGCACCCGCTGAACGCACGGTTTGGTTGGTGTTTACGTTGGGGCTTTCAGATCGGCTTGACGAGCTGCAGGTGCAAATGTTGCAACATTCAGATTTACACAACGGGCATCTTGAATCGCCCGAAGACAGTGAAGATAAGGTGGCTCCCCTGCCAACAAATATGTCTGTGAGAATGACTAGATCGCCGAGAATGGCGTCCTCGTGTTATGGCAATCTGTGGGGTTCTGGGGCGCTTGTGCAGGAGGACGGTAAGCAGGATATTGAGGATACCTAAAACACAAACTGCTTGGTTGCCAACTTCTCTCTTGCTCAAAATAGAAGAGAGTCGTCCCAGCTTGGGAACGCTGTACTTTATGATTTACTAGTACAACTACGCAATAACTCTACCGTTTTTTGTTTCGACCACCGTGATCCATTGGATGACTCGGTCAAAACCGCCACTAACGAACGAAATGATGACCATGGAGTGCCGCGTGCTCGTGCTGTGTGTATGTGTGTGTCCGATGATGGAACGTTTAGTATTTGTGAGTGCCTAATGGTTGAGAAACTGGCTTTTTTGTGTTTGGCTTTGATCGCTTATGAACGTGCGCGCAAGGTAGTCCTGCGCCGGCAGCATGTGTGGAGTAATGTGCAAAAGTCAAACAGCAATAGTTGTCATAAACAGGTAATTGGCCAAATCTAATTTCATCTGATTTTTTTTTGTTTGTTTGTGTGCCTTATGTCCTGTCTATACTGGGTATACGGTATACTGTTGCAGGCGATCTGATGAGCCGGAGTATGATCGTGACATCGAGTGCTGCCCGCCGTAAGACGGACTTGACACCGGTGACGCCTTCGCCATGGGCGCGCGGGCTTGGAGCCGGGTCCAAGGCACTGACACCCTCTCGGCCTCAGACTGCAGCGGGCTCGGCGGGAACGCCCAAGCGAGCCGTGAGCATGTCTCGCCTGGACATCCTTGCGCAACCGCGTAGGAGATTCACAATGGAAGACCTCAAGAGTAGGTCTCATTCTGCATGGAAACTCAACGACCCATCGCAGTCGGGCCAGGCTGGTCAAGCTAATGGTCTTAAAGGCATGAAAGGCGCTCGCAGCATGTCCCATCTAAGTTCAACGCCTCATCCGCCGCGTTTGACACGCACATCCCAAATGCGCGCATCGGCACAGCAGTATCAGTCCCAAATGCAGTCAAGTAACAAAGGTCTGACTACGTTGCTGACAACCTGTTGTGCTTTTATGTTTTGTTTGATCTGAAACAAATGTTTGAATTTGTCTCATCCAATTTATCGTACCTGTGTTTTGCTCTACTACAAATTACTTTGCTTTCTTTTCGATGATTTAATCGCCTGCGCATCATTATCCGCTTGTTATTTTTCTGTTGACTTAACGCGCTACTAAGTGTCTGAAAGCTTCATGTGATTACGACGAGATGACTTATGATTATGCCTCTTTTGGTTAGCGCTAAAAAGTTGGCCCTGCATGTTGAAGGCATGAAGCCTGAAGATTGTAGTAAGCTATCGGTTGACATATGCTCTTAGCATAACACTATAGTGTTGTATTGTGTGGTGTGTGATCGTGTGTATGTATGGGCTTGGATTCATCGTGATTTTGTTCTGTGGTGATCTGCATCTCTATTATCGTGAGTGCATTCGATGAATTCCCGCGCACAGGTCATCAGTCAACTTCGTCATCACGCAGCGAGCAGGTGTCCCCTACCCATCAGCTGTCAGCCCCGCATCATCTGCGATCTAGAAGTCAGATGTCGTCCGACCTCTCGCAGAGCTCCGTGGCCTCCTCGGTGGGCAGCCCGCATGCTAATATGAGGCCTAAAGCCCAAGGTACCAACAATGTCTCTCGTCACTTATCAACTCGTTTGTTTCGCTTATATCATCCATCTACTATAGTTAATTTTGCTCGCATCGTACCGGAAGCTTTCGAGCTATAGAAACTCGTTGTTGCCAGATCAACCTTTTGAGTTGCCGATGCATTTTACTAGACAACGGTTTATCACTTCAGCATCGTTATGCTTCGGCTAGATAAGCATGTCCCATAAACGTTTTGATATAACACAAGCTTTGCGATGAGCGAGGCATTGCTTCACCAATTCGTCACGCGCTCACTGTGAAGGTATTACACTTGTGATATTTCCCTATCAGGCTCAGCGAACCGGAAGGCTCGACCTTTGAGCATTGCAGGTTCAATCCCTTCGTCGGAGTTAGACAAGAAGGACAAGGGCCAGCCCCTGATGAAACCCCATAAACCAGTGCCGCCCGCATCGTCACCGGAGCCGCAGGCCGTCGCCCGACAGCGGCGGTCCGCGTCGCCCAAAAAGAAGGAGCAGGTGCCGTTAACCAGGGAAGTTTTGGATGACACTCTTACATCCGAAGAAATGGCGGTACCTGTCTGCAGCGCAGTGCCCGTAGATATCCCCTTACTGATGACCCAAAGCTTTACCGAAGGTTGCATGCCGATCGAGAATCGTCCAGCAGAGGTTCGCAAGACTAAAACGCGCGAGGAGGCAATGGCCGAGATTGCCGAGGCACGTCGTAAAGCCCGTGAGGAACTCGAAAAGCAGGCCGAGGAGGAGCGTCGTAAGAAAGAGGAAGAAGCCGCTGCTCGCCGTGCAATTCAGGAAAAACGCCGTCAGCTTGAGGAAGAAGCGCGTCTTAAACGTGAAAAAGAAGAAGAAGAGAAGCGTCGCCAAGAGGAGGACGAACGCAAGGCGGTATGCATAACTGTCCTAACAAGAATTTACAGTCAATAGTCGTCTTTCCTGCCATTAATAAATATAACGCACGACAATTATAGGACGAACATACGCAATAGTGATAGAATGCGTCCACATTGTTTTTTGAGAGATATTCACGAATCGTATAGACGTTAGCGGCAATTTTCGAGCTACCCTTGACAATTTATTGTGATGAAAACAGCGAATCCACTTATGATTGCCGGACCTGTTAACGAGTAGTTTTCTGCGTGTGCAGGATCTCGTTTGTTGAGCTTTGAATTGGTATTTTCATGCTGTTCCGTTTCTTTTTCAGGAAGAGGAACGCGTTCGGCAAGAAGAAGAGGCCAAGCGCATTTTGGAGGAAAAAGCCAAACAGGAAGCGTTCAAACGGCAGAAGAAAGAAGAGCAAGAAAGGCTCGAAAGAAAGAAACGCGTTGAAGAGATCATGGCGCGCACCAGAAAGGCTCGTTCTGCTGGTGGCAATAAAGAGAGTGGAGACAGTAACGGACAACAGGGTGAAGCTACAGGCACCGTTGACTCGAATGAATCCAGCACGAATGTCAGTCCCGTCAGGGAGCTCAATGGATCGGCTCCAGCAGGGAAGGCGGAACTGCAATCAAATAACGGTAGCTCGGTAGTCGGTAATTCAGATGGAGTCAACGAGAAGGGATCTGTTACTTCTAGCCAGACCCGAAATGGTCTATTGAACGGGTAAGTTCTCAAAAATATTAGCATTGCACACACAAGCATGAATAATGAACCCTTACCCACAACAGACTTGCAAAAAACTTTTCACTTGCAGAATGGTCGACTAGCTCTAACATCGCATAGTAAACCCACACTGTCGCTCACCAAATTATGGCAATGTGCATTATGGTATTTTTATAAAAAAAAAAAAAAAAAAAAAAAACAGTTTTAATTCCTTTGCACAACTCTATATGCGCTACTACGTAAAATAAGTGAGATTCCTACAGACACTTAGAAACAAGCATTGTAAGCGTTCACGACTTTTCAGATATATTGAATAGATTCGGCCTTTGACCATATAATTTCCGCGGGCCACTGAAAATAATTGCACATACCCGCTTTCATAGTAGAATGGATAGGATGTTATGAGCGATACCGAAGCCACTTTTTTTTCGTGATTTTATAATGAATTTCATCTATACCTTGCTTCTGCTTCTCTCTGCTTCCTGTAACTTTGCATTTTCCTGGTACGATGATGATGACGTCGATGGGCCGGCGTGCAGCCACGGAGCAAATAACGGTGCAGGACAAGAGAAGCCGGTCGCTCAAGAACAAGTAATGATCGCTCCCGCCGGAGGGAACAACCCGAATGTGATAGAGAAGAAGGAGAAGGAGCCTGTGTCCATTGACAACTCGGCAAATGGGCCTGCCTCAACCGATTCTGGTACAGGGTCAGCCGATTTCAATTCGAATAGCACCCAGGCGGTTATCCAACCCGAGCATCCGGCGAGCGGCGGGAATAACAATGTGCAACACGTCCAAGCGAATACTCCGCCTGTCTTACCGGGGCAGGCTACGACCGCAGACGCACCTCTAATCGTCCAAGGACCCCTCATTCAAGGTTAGATGTCCGCATCAACTCCATATACTTCGCACCGGATCAGCCATTAGATCACATCACGAGTCGCATATTCACGCCTGCACCACCGTGAGCATCACAGTCATTTGACGCTGGGACAAACCGAGATAGTTCGATCCGCCACTAGGTGGTTCATTGTGATCTCGTTGGTCATAAACTGCGATTGAGACGATTGAGCTTGTAGATTATACCTAACCTCAATGAAATAAAAGAAGGACGCTTGTAAAGGTAGCACTCTATAGCGTCAAACAGCATCAGTGCGCAGCACTAGGTCTCTGTCGAGCATACGGGAATGGATAGGTTAACGGGAGACGTCGGATACAAGCTTACTTGAAACTTGTGTTTACCTTTTGGTCAGTCGATTTGCCTCGATTCATTATGTGTTGCCTATTTTCAGTTCGCTACTCAATGATTATTTGAGGTTTAATACCCTAGGATACCACTTAGTTAGTCATTATGCCTAAGGCGTTTCTATGGGTTACATGTATATATACGCGAGATATAAACATCTGGTGTGTGTTCGAACATTCTGGTTCCCGGCATGATTTAACGACGATTAGATTTATCTCCGTACCGTGTTATAGCTTATGCAGTGAGTAAATGCAGAAAAAATGACTCTATAATTTAGCGATATTTTAAGACAAGCACAAAACGGTGCATACGTTTGCTTGAGTTATATTAATCATCATAGAATCTTTAGTAGGGAGGTTTAGAACAAGTGTTAGGAATAGATGAGCTTAGATTAAAGCATGCTATCGCTACTTGAGACTAATTCTGTCGTTTCAATAAGGACGTGCGTCGAAGATCGGCGGCCCATTTCGAGGTAAAACAACAAAAAAACACATGACCGACGTCGTTTTTCTAATATTTCAGATCTGTTATCGTAAATGTTTGAGATTTTGCTAGTTAATTGAAGAAATGTACATCACAGAGTAACAAGGACTGACTCAATTGACGGCAACCGACGTGGAAACAGGAGGCTGAAAGAAAAATGCGATATCACAGCGTAGAAGAGCGCTACGGCGAACAACGTAAAATAACAACGTCAACGCCGATGCGTAATCCAAAATTCAGGAATCAATTCCGTGGACCGCCGACAAGTGTTCCGATAAAATATACTACCTAACAAGCTGCCGTTTTCCTGGCAATTAGTGCTAACAGTAGTACCGCGAAAAAAAAAACCACTATTCATAGATCACGTACAAGCTTGCGGGCTGTCTCCGCTCGCCCGTAACTGCAATGCCTCGGTAATCAGCTGAAATGATTACGAAACTATTGATCATACTGTCAAGCTAGAACCATCTTGATAAAGACTTGATATCAACCAATTCATGGACTGGAGAGTAAAAAGATAACCGTAGAACATATGAAGGCAGGTCTAGAAAAACAAGTTATGACGCCTAAAGAACGGACAGGTACGGAAGGTATCCATATAAAAATACAACAGTTAAATACTAGTTATAGTAGCATACCTATGTTTAGCTGAAGCGCTCGGCTGTTGTTGTGTCCACGGTAAAACTACGAGCGCAGACGAACGGAATCAGTCTATATGAATGCTGATATATACATACATGGAGAGATATACAACGGACAAAAGTGACCACTCTAAACAAAGAAAGTATATTTTAAGGCTGCATAAATAGAAAAGTGACAACTAAAATAAGGAAGTGATCATTATAAACGGTTGCGTCAAGGTGGAATCTGCGGACCTATTAACATCTATATTATAATTACTGAAAATTAACTATTATCAAGATTATTACCAGCACTATTCTCACTATAAGTTATCCTATTTTGACTTTCCGGACACTTCTTGGTATGAGGTGCTGGAAGGCCAGGAGAGAAGTAGATAACAGCGTTTCCAATATATAGAAAAAATTGCCCACCAAATAGATGCGTTGGCGAACGGTTAATAATGGAAGGCGTTCGTTTCGAAGTAGATGAACTTGGTTAACGAAGCCAGCAGTGTTAAGGTATACGGGCCTTGCGTAGCCCTGCTGATCCATCGATTATAGATGTGACGAGACTGTCAAATACGCTTCGGTAGACCGGTCGTAATTTAGCGGTTGAAAACGTTCTTACTGTGAGTGGGAAACAGATAGCGAAATGAAGAAATTGAAATAGTTGACTCGAGATGTCAAAATATTTTACGCGCCGTCGACTGTGCACGGATTTAAGCCACTGCGAAAATCCATCTTTATAACTGAGACCTAGAAGAAAAAAATAATGAAAACAGAAATGATGAAATATAGGTCTTACGGCCGAAAAAGTTCCCAGCTCTATAAATCATCCGGGGAAGGGGGACCGACCGACCGACTGTTAACGCGCCACTATAATGAACCGAATTAAAGCTTACTGGAGATATTGTTTTAACAGGACTTCGATTTAGAAAAACGGGAAAAAATTTCCTCACTGTGTGTGCCTCGCCGTACGTACTTCAGTTGATATATCTGATAGACAGTTATTTGTGGACGTTGTCATTTGAGGTGCTCGGGTTCGTCACGGGTTGCAAAACGTTTTTCGTTAACATAGACATCAGTTGTGGACTATTTGTGCCCTGGTATTTAACGCGCTGGCGCGAGTCCCCGTATCATTTAGCTGTTCGTTCGATGCCGTTTTTCACAGGTACACAATATGCTTGGAAGCAACACGCGACAAATTTAGAGGGAAACAGCGTTGGAAGAGGAACGAGGTCAATGATGACCTGAGGAAGTGAATAAGTAATGTTGTATGTACTGTAAAATAGCGAACAAAAAGGCGCAAAGCCGAGAAGTTAATGAAGCGTGGTGGGGAGACAAGTTAAGTGAAATTATAAAAAGCATTGTTTAAGGAAGGACAGGTTGGGCATATTATCCCATGCGAGGGTTTCCAGAAATGACTATATACGTTTAATTATGTGCAATTCCTGCACGCCAAGCGATGGAGACCGAGCGGGATACTGTAATAAGGTAACAAATACGATAAAAACGGCGATGATGATGGTGGCGTTTACCATATGTTAGAACAACACACTCCGCTAGACTCCAAGGGCTGCAGGTAGTTGTAACGTGCTGTGTAGCGAAGTGACATACGCATTCAAAGAAACGCCAATGTTCTGAGGTTCATTTAGTCCCTAAAATAAATTGTCACCGTGACGAAGGCAACTAGCCATACATCAGACCCGGCATGATAATGAGGCGCGTGGCCATCGAACGTTCAGCGGTGCCCCCACACCTCGGGGGCTCTGATGTCCGACGCTCCAATACTGATCGGTGACACAGGTGGATATTACAGAACACGCGGAACCACCCGAGCTATCAGTATCACACACAACAAGATACGCAAACACATATAATGATGAAGCCAAGATACAGTTTGATGAGAATATTGTGGACTTCAAATTTAATAGAAATTCAACAAGAAGGCAGAGGAACCTCTCTCTTTCTCTTTCTCACACACATATATATGTATATATATATACGTGAGAGCGAGAGAAAACAAGGAAAGGTAGATAGAATACTGAGATGACTATACGAATAGGTACGATAGAAACGATTAAGAGAGGGAAATAGTGATAGAGAGAAGCAAAAAAGATAAAAGTGAAAGAAAACGAAACAAGATGGAAATATATATTAAAAAATAATAAAATCAATAAAATGCTAGGGGTCATATTAAGCCGGTTCGATTGTTATTTTAACTCTGAATGTTTTTTTGAATGACTATATTTGTATAGCTAATTGGGTCGATGACTTAAGACTTTCTATTACATCTTGCGACTGTGTTCCCATCGAACTCTGCTTATATGGTGGCGGATCTTAAAAGCCAAACGGAAGAGCAAATAACAAAATGATACAAAACAATACTAAATACAATATTCAATAAAAGCTCAAATTCAATAAACTTTTTCCTTGAAAAAAAAACTAATGAAACAGCATTACTCTAGCAAAACAGCAAACATAACTTGTAACTACTCAACTTCGTATCCTGAAAGAGTAATAACATGTACTATTAGTTGTTACTCGGCAAGCTAAGGATATTTAGAAGAATAAGCGACATAGACAGAACCGCTGATATATCCCGACTCTCCGAGCCAGCGACAATGAGCGGAGGCGAAAACTATTAACATATTCAATGACGGATGCGGTCCGGGTGCAGGGCACACCTTGGCCCCAAAAGTTATGCTTGCATTTTTCTTTTTTGTAGGTTCCGCGCTTGTGTAAATATCTTACTTCTATGCATTACACAAAATAAATTAGTATATGCATCTATGTATCATCTAAGCATTTCATTCATTTAGTTATAGAAAAAATACACTTAGGAAAAATACAAAGCTTGTCAGATAGGAGTAAAGCTAACGGGCATATTTTAGTTAGAATATATTTAGTATTTCTTTATCCGTCAGCTATACCCGGCTATAACTAGACAGTAACTGCGGGCTTTCTTTCTGCTTTTTAAAAACGTGACTGTTTAACTGACGAATTTTTTGTGTAAGTGACGAAGTACATAGTTTATGTTCATTTACTCTATATTAGGTTTTCTTTTTCGAATGTGCCTCAACCATAGAGACTAGGGGATGTCTTAATATTAAAAATCTCTGCTTGTTAAAATGCAACCATCGGATCGTTTCTTTCGGAAGACAATCTTTGTCTGACTTTGTCACAGACTGTAATCGCAAATACGAAAGGAATAGATAAAAAGATGTAAAAAAGGCGCTGCCCATACGCATCGACATTTACTTTAGCATTTATTCAATAGCGTTTTTGACAATTGGTATTTGTTATTATTGCTTTTTACCTGCCATACTCCCTCGGAATTGTAAGATTCGATAAAGCTGCCCAGCAAAAAGGCTTTGAGCATTACATTTTACCTGTTCATACAGAAGAAGGATTACCTAGTATGAATGTTGGGAAGCGAGTAGATCAACACCTAAGGTAGGTTTAAGTCAGTCGTTCGTATAGGTAAAACACGGTGCGCTAATTGAACAAAGCATAGGTCGACCGTTACTGTGCTCGTTATATACACTAACGCTAAATATCGCGTACGATTTTGTGGTGCGATATCCTTTGCGCCAGACCTCGGTATTTCTATGCAGCCTTATTCCGAAGACACGTTGGGGCAAAGCACTCGATACGACTAACCTGGAGAAGGGCCGCTGATATTGTACCTTGCAATTCATTTCAATACCTTACTGTACTGTTGTTCGCACACCGAGCAACCCGGCCTATTTTCAATCCTGTACTTAGTGAATGTTAGGACCTACAATTAGGACAATTAGAATGTTCCATTGCAGTTTAAGTTTGCTACGACTAGCTCATGCAAAATGACCACGTGTAACCCAAATTCACAGTGGTTTTTTGATCATCCAACATTATGCGTTTATTTAAGATTAGTTACGACTTTTATAATTATAGTTTCTAAATTTCGTAGTTGACATTACGGAACGAGCACGACCATTTACTCATCGATGGATCACTTGGCTCGAATTAATCGTAGTAGTTACTTTTCAGTCCGTTATTGCTAGAGCAACTCGTTGAGCGGAGCATATTATGAAGGATTTGAGGCTTAACCGACATTTGCTCAGCTACAGCGAGAGACTCCCTTTGTTATTACAGGACCATCGACAATGGCACTGGTAAGTCCTATTGGTTTTTTCCTACCTAAAAAATACGGTTTCAGTCAATATGTAGCTTTATCCGGATCAAAAATACTGTCTTTACGTTTAGGGTGTCAACACAGCGTGGCTTAACTGTTGAGTAATTTTTAGATCATGCTATGTAGAACCCCAAAACAACGTTGGTACTCATTATGGCGTTTTCAGTTTACGTAATAATATTTGATATTTTCTAATTGAAATTTCATGATGACATAACAAGTCATAGTTCGGCAAGAACGGTTCGGGCCATGTATCAATAATCAAGACAATTTTTTCATAAATATTAGAACTTTCTGAATGTTTTCTTTTATTGTCAACCGAAGCATACACCACTTTTATCATTCATGGCCGCTTGCCCTTTGAAAAAGTCCGCGGTATGTGGGTAGAAGTATACATAACAAGGGCCCATAAAGTTGTAGTGAACAGCATTTGCATCAGGCCACCATATAGATATCATAACATTTTAAATCAGTGTATTTGCTTTTAAATACTGGTTCGCCAGTCTCGTCGCATCCATCTCCTGATTCAGCCGTTTCTGATTATCGTCTAAGATTCAGTTTTCGTTACGAGCAAAAATTCGATGCAAGAATAGGTCAACTCGAATTGTTGTTGCGTTGTTGAAAGCAAGAAAAAATAGGCATCTTTACCTCTCTGTTTTGTATCGTCGCTCAACCCTTTACCTATCTAATTTGATTAGCTTACTCATTTGACCGTGGTAAACATTTATGGTACTTTTACGTACACCAAACCTCAGTACTAATGATCTTTCCGTTAGAGATGAGTCGGCTTCCACCACAGCCCTCAACTTTTGGTGATTCACCCTCGTAGAGAGTCTTCCGCGTAACCAACTTTCGAGTCTAGATTAAAGAAATTGTTGCGTGTCTTTCTGAGATGTTTTTTTAATTGACGACTCACGGTATTTCTATTAGTTGAACCTTAACGGAATATAAGATTTATACGGCAAGTTGTTTCTGCTACTGTATTTTCAAAATAAAACTAGTACTTTCGCGCCGTTCCACTTTTTTCTTTCATGTTTCATGGCCTATTGCAACCCATCTGCTTATTACGTTTCCCACCCATACAGTGGTAGGTCTAGACTCATTAAAGCGTCACTCGTATACGCTACATAAAGGTCCGAGCAAATTGAACCCTGACACCCGGTCTAAAGTTTCAAAAATACCGGGGATTCAAAATGGCCAAAGATGCCACAAGGTGCAAATATCAAAAAGACGAGTCCTTGGAGCTTATCTGAACGACCCAGTTAGTCATTAATCTCTTGTACGTAAAATTTAGGCTGGTGAAATAGTGTTTTTGAGCCCTTTTGATGAAATCGAGACCTTTCGAAATCGAACAGTTTGGAGAAGAAGGCTATTTTTATGGATAAAATTAAAGATAAGATCTGTAGATATAGGGAAGTCTTCTTTGTAAGGCTCTTATTAATGAGGTTTTTGCCAAAGGTTCCCAAATTCGAAGTCTGGTATGCCTGAGTTACGTTGTCAGTGATGTGCTGTTTTATACAAGTTAAAGAGTACCGATTTTTTTTTTAGACAAATTTTAGTTCTGTCTAGCTGTGTGCAAGCTTCCCTTCCATTGATCTATTTCATATAGTCAGACGCAACAAGCCGTTCAGCCCTCCAAATCTGTGCCCTATCTCAAAGACTCTAGTACTTTAGAAAAGTCTTGCTAGCTTAAGTCATCGTGCAGAACGTTTCATATAAAGATTCCGAGATTCGCTTCACGTAGAGCGCATACAAGGCTAAAGTTTCGATTTGGCCCATGAAATTAGTCGTCACTCCTAATTCGAAATGTTTTTGTACAAGCAAAGAATAGTTTTTATTCACGATCACTACTAACTTTACATTATCCAACTTGAGTTTTTTTTTTTCACTTAAATGTATATCAACTTCATCTATTTTTTAAGTGTAACAATATATGTCATACAAACTGCTTCTGAAGAGTTAACTTGTTTGCTTTGCGACCTAACGTGGGCGCCCTGATTCTGTCAAGTTAGTTAATTAAAATGTTGTCATTTTTACAATCAGTATGGAGCCATTTTAAGCAAATATAATCAGACTGGTTTAAATTTATTAGGCCAATTTTGTTGCTTTCAAAGAGGTGTATTTCTAGTAAGATACCTGCAACGTTTCAGAAAATGTTATCAATACTCGACACCTCCGAGAAGTGGGTTTCTTAACATATAGTTTAGCAAGGAGCATATCGTAGCCATGTACTATTTTTTTTTTTGTGTTTCTTTCCTTAGCGCTTTTGCTGTGAATCCGCGGCTGTCAAATCGATGATATATGTCATTACGCTAACGACGGTCGCTGGGTTCGTTGGATACCTTGTCTGCAGTGAAGGTGCCCAAATCAGGTAAGTTAGTCTAGATTAAGGCAATAACCGGGCATCAGTAGACCCTCTAATGGGCAGACTTTTATCTCCGTAGTTGGAGATAAATTCCCTCTTCTACCGATGTGTGATGAACTACAAATCATATAAGAATGACCCCGTCCGATTTTGAGTATGTCTGTTAACGGGACATTCAAATAAGCTTATTACAGCACACTTTAAATAATTATCATATGCTTTTTCCTCTTATTTTATATCCGCATAATACCGGCATAGACGCCTGAACTTCTGACTGCGCCATGAAGTTAAGCGGATTAAAAATACAGCTTTTCAATTTTCAAAACACTCTGAGCTAAAATATTGAGCTCGATAAGCTCTAATGACGACAAGATTAGTCTAGAGGAAGAAGAATCAAAGCTACATACATATATATATATATATATATATACACACATATATATATAATACTTTATCAAACGTTTTTTTCATTTCAGATTTAGCATCATCTTTAACGGCGGTGAGACGGTTTGTGGTATGCATGTGTACATGCTGAAATGGGAACGTGGTCTGTGGACACTAGCGGGGGTTTATTTTGAACAAATACCGACCGGTCTTATCTTTTACGCCAAAGTACCTCGAATGGCAGCCAAGGTTCTTAGGTACGTGTATTAGATTATAATTCTATGATTATCCCTAAAGTACTTTGATAATATAATATCATTTATTATAGTTGTTGTTCGCAACTATTCCAAATATTATTCTAGACCGATGTTGGTAAATGCAACAAGGGAAGTGCCATTGTCGTATCATCATATAACAAGACTGTCCCTCGGCGCCACGCCCGCCCTGTTAACGCTGGACGACGATAAGGCAGATGCGATCCTGGAGGCGGTTAGAATGCTTTTCTATGGAAAACATATATCTCCATTTAAGAATGGCACCGCGGATATTCTTAACAGCACCGATAGAGGTAGACATTTTTGTTGGGCTGATGCCAAGCTCACATTAGATGACTATTTAATCCGTTTCGCTAAAATGAAAAACTCAATATGCCTCTTTCATGCTTTAGTGACAATATAAACATAAAACAAATAGGACAATCACGAACGTATTACCTAAAGAAGTATAAGCTTGAACAGAGCGCACAGAATAGATGCCTTTAATACGACACTGACGAATGATTTTACAAATTATATCAGTGCAATGGCTGCGTCATTACGTACAACTACATATCCTGATAAAAGGCACGGATCCTGATTAAAAAAAATAATTACAGAGTTTATTCTTAAATTGTTATTAATGATTTTTTAAGCTTTCTACTTGTGGGTCACAATATCGTTTTTGCTCAACGAAACATTCACCAGATCGAATGCCGCAGCTCTCGAACTTGGAGAAGAAACGTTGCAGGTCAGTATATAGTGACATAATAGTTGTGCATATATGCCTTAGCTCATAAAGCAGTCATAGTAATGTATTTATAAATTCAAAGTTACCGCGCTGGTAATTTTGTACAGCGTGTATTCAATGGGAACGAGCTTTGCCGTGCCTCTCTCCCGACGAGTACGCGCTCATCCACGATCGATGCGCCATCAAAAGGAAAGCCAGTTCCTTATACAACAAAACGGCAAACTCGTCGTAGCGATATTTTGAACAAAGATTATCGCCTAATCCGTTATACAATCTCGGGTCCACGTGTCCAAGCAGACGTGTTGAACGAACTCGTCTATGAACCTATTAGGTCATCTCAAATAGCTGCAAAAGGAGCGGAGGCTAGTTCCAGCATTCAAAAAGACTAATTGGGGCTGTCGAAAAACGTGTTTCTTATGATTGCTCTGCTTCGATCAACACTCTAGCAAAAAAAATTTCCTCTCAATGAGCGTACGATCCCATTGTTCAGTTACTCGTTATGCGTGATAAAGATCAGACAGATACTCACCGAGGGCAATAGGATCATTGTCTACCAGCCAGTTATCTCAAGACAAAATGGCCAGATTACCTTCGACTTTTCTCGATGCTCGATGTAAAAGTGGACCGTGAAAATGATCGTTGGTTTGCTCACGTCTTAGTAGATGCAGCTATTGCGGGTGGAGGCGAATTATCTTGGTTAGAGGGAGACATTGATTAATCCTGTAGTCCAATAGTAACAGCTACAGCCAGACAATGTTCAATTGCAGTTGGCGTTCGTTTCTACAGAACCAGAAAGTGGCCCCTCACTTAAAGCATACCCAGTCTTGGACCAGCGAGTAAATATCTATGCGAGAACCTATAGTTCCTTGGGTTTGGAAGCGGCCACAAGGATAATTCTCAAGCAAGGTACGTACTTGCAAATATTTATACCGTACATTAATGTTATTTTGCGATTGCTGGCTGTATATCTACAGCTGAGCGTTTTGTCATTGGCTAATGTGATGAAATACTAATGATGGGAATGAGAGGTCCGTATTCGTTTTGGTGTGTCCTTATTTCGTTAATGACAATAAGAGAAAAAGGCAGTTGTCTACCGAAAGTGAACGAGACTCCATCAGCATTTAGATAGTGAGCTTTCATAATGAATTATGATATTTAACAGATGAACACGGCTACCAGTCTCCATGCGTCGTGCCGCAGTTCCCATTTCTATCGAAATATGCGTCACTTTTGACTTATGAGACATCCATGTAAGTTTACCTAAACCTATAAGCTAGTACGACTTATTCGGAGTATATATATTATACGGATACGTATGAGGCAGCAATATGTCTGCGCTTTCCTGTCCCCATACGTTTCATTAGATGCATACGCATCTTTGGCCGTTCTGTGGCTGGTAGCAGTCACTTCAAATGAAAGCGGGAGAAAGGTTCTATCCGAGGACCGTTGAGAACCATACATGCATAACAGAAATAAATGCAATTAGTAGTGCTTTTAGCTGCCTTGTGATGCGATGCTAGATAATTTGTAGCAACGGTCATAAATGTTTTACTATTTTAGAACTAATTATACAGAGTGCTACAAAAACTGCCAGGATTTTGTCAAGAAATACAAGGTAACCGTCGCTCGCGACCTAGACAAACGAGACATCTTTGCGACTTCGTACTTCTATGAACTTGCAAGACAAGCTGGAATGATCTCGAAAGATGCTGTACAGGGCAAATTTAACCTAACTTCGATTGAGGAGTACGCTAAAGAAGGTAATCATAAGAATATGCCAATAAATATTATTTGCTATGCATTTACTTTAGGCCTAAAATTTTCAAGAGTATTGTCCATACAGTTTCATGCAAAGTTTCAATTATGCTTGTTCAAAAACTGCTTTAACTTGAATTTGAAGCAAAATACTATAGCGTACGATGGCGAATATCCTAAGCAGTGTAGAATATGTATGTTCATGCCGGAGTTGCACATACCAGATAATAAAAGTTACACCAATCTTAGCCTGCCGTGTGCCGATCGACAAGAAGGACAGGTTGTGCTTTGACCTAACTTACCTATACGCACTACTTCGGGACGGCTTCACGCTGCCGATCAACAAAACTATTCAGGTATATATTAGTTCAGGCCTTTTACTGCCTTTTTTTACCTGTTAACGAGTATGCAAATATTATCGATATTATGTTACTAATAACACCGTTTCGCATAGGCTGAAACCGTCTAGGGCAGCAGTCGGTAATGTTCTTACTGCTTTATTTCAGATAACTAAGGAGATCAACGGTCAAGAGGTCGACTGGACGTTAGGCATGGCACTATCTCAACTTTACCAGTAACTTACGAACATCGATCTGATGTAGCTGGAACTGTGAGAGAGATTTATTTTAATCAATAAACGGCGGTATTCGAGAACGCATCAACCAACGATAGGACGCTCAACAGCAGAATTTAACTATCGGTCGAATCGTAAAGTTTCTACCGATTAAGGCACATTTTGCGTAAGGCCTTATCCTACAACACATGTGTAGCTAAACCAGAACCACCGGCTATATGCGGATTAAGGTTTATTGAAATGAGCGAGTAGATAATTGTTCAAGTTTACGTTGTTCGATAAACTTCAGTAACTGCTTATTCAATCGATGGACTCAACTTTGAACGAACAACTAAATAGCTATCAGGGTTCATCTAAGAAGGTTGTTAGTTGCAGTCGTCTTTCAATTGTGGACGCATAAATGGACGATTATCATACAGAAGGCCGAAAACCATTATTGTGGCTTATGATATTCTCAAGTAGATGGCGTTGAAAACAACAATCTCCCGCAATCCGTAAAATCTCGCTTTATATAAGGAGACATGAAAGGAGTGTTTTCTGACCAGGCTTGTAAGAGAGGAGATTTACAGAAGTGGGAGCCTGGTAAGTAAGCTATAATGTATTTCGTATTTTCTAATAAACTGATTTAAACTAAAACGGCTGACGTTAATATAAAGCTATATAAACGTAGACACCTACCAAATGTTGAATTCTTCAGAATCTAGATTTACGTAGATACGTAGATATAAGAGAATCAGTTTCACGATAACTGAAAAAAGGTATACTTGACGATGGAAAGTTTATATTTATGTAAAAGAGGCTGCTAGTTAGGTTCGTCCTTGAAACAGGTGCCGCTCGAAGTATTAGCGTACTCTTTTTTATGCGTTACCCTCCTGTAAGCCTACATCTAGCCCACTTCGTGTATTGCACTTTGTGGTTACTACTAATGGCTTGGTTTAACGAACGTCTTCGTTCCGAATTGCTTCTTGCAACGCTTTTCATTATCCTAAGAAGCTAAACCGACCCCAAGCCAACGCAGATTGTGGCCCAAAATCGCAAACAAAAGCGTTTACTATAAAGATCTTTCGCATTTGCTGGTAAGGGGATTAAGCGTGCTCCTGGGGAATGTGAGCAGTATACCCAAAGAGCAACACTGATTTATGAGGAAGAATTTGATCAAAACGGCACGCAGGATCCTACTTGCTAATATTAAGTAACTTTTTAAACTTTTTTTAAAATAGTTCTCGGAAACATACTTACGTAAGGTTTGTATACTTCGAAGCTGCCTTCGACTTTGCCCTAAGAAATGCCTCTTAAGCCGAAATCTACTCGCGGACGTCGGCGTTACCACAACTGTTTCTAGCTTAATAGCAGCGATACTCCATGAAAATGGTATTACAATCGATAATGGGATCTTGAAGTTGTCAGCGTCCTTTCAGATCACAGGTGTGGCCCAAGGTGATAACTTGAGCCCTCTTTTTTCTCAGTTCGTATAAATGATCTTTCCGACAAGATACGTGAGCCCCTAAATACGGTGAAGATTCTCCTATAATCAGGCGATTTAGTTTTTTACGTGGGCAGTCGCTTCTATATGCAATAGACCTTCGTCAGGTTATATTCCAAGATCTCGGAATTCGGATTAACCATCAGCCTAACTAAAATCAGGGCAATGAAATTCAGGAGAGGCGATAGAGTTGCAGCTTGTGATACGCTATATCTCTTTGACTGACCATTAAAATTTGTTTACATACCTAGAAGTGCTGATTTTGTATGATAGGCAAAGTATCTCCCAGCATTTTAGAGAAATATGTAGAAAGGCTTTGGTAGCTTAGTCGTTATTCCTTAGAAGGAAGTTGTACCGGACGACCTGCGGCGGGCTTGTCTACCTGCGGGCGGTGATGTAACTGTTACCCGAGAATCTCCGTCAGCTCTTGACGAAAACCCAGTAAAATAGGGTCAAAGATTCGCAAAAGTCAATTCCAGTTACTATCAAAGGTGGCCATGACGGGCAAGACTCGGAAAGACAAGAACCTTCGCTAGCATAATAGACATGCAATTGATGGTTTTCGCCATCGCCTATGCAGAACACAGGAGTTCCGACATGAACCTCTTGAATCACTGAATGTAAAAAACGATGTTATCTGTATGATAATTTTCGCTGTCCAGAAATTCTATCGCTGGGTAGTCAGGCTAAATAACTAATCGATAAACATATAGTAACATGGCGTCTAGTGTACATAACGCAACCACTGGTGATAGCTAGATGACCCCGTGAACCCTGGACCAATTATTCCAGAAACGGTTTTAGCCAGGCTCATGAAGCCATGGTGTATGTATGTATGGTATAAGATAACGTAATAGAGTTTAGTATGCCAAGTTGTTAAATGTCTCTATTTCAAATGACTGGAATGTGAAATGGCAGAAATGAGTAAACACAAGTTTGGTTGGTTGTATACTACTGTGCTTTAATTAAACACTTTATTTTCTAACGAAAATATATATATACACACATATACATGAAGAAGTTTAGTGTCTTCGAATGCCGATGGCGATTTTAGAGGCCATCGATCTTTATCATTTACACTTTATCCATACATAAGATAAACATGGTACGGGGTTTGAAATGCAGCGACTGGAGCAGCAATGGGCATCACATGTGGATACGGATACCTACGTGTCAAACGAAAATCATGTTAAGGATGACGAATACCTAGATCTTAATTACATTTTGAAATAAACGTAGTCTTTAATAAAGGCTAATTTCGAAGCTCGCTTGTCTGAAAATTAAGTCTCTGATTTAGTCTTTATGAACTTGCATGGAGTGTGCTGCGATGGTGAAGCAGACTACAGTTTAATGTTCTTTAAGACTCTCTGTCGACGCTTTTTGCGGCGTCACATGCCTTGCTCCACTTTTAAGGTATTGTACCTTTTTTTTTTTAGTTAAAATTCATATTACCTGGGATAGACCATACAGATACACGGGTTCATGTTGGGAGGGCCCATGCAAATGCTTCTAGACTGCCAAGACCCATTATTACTGCTACGTCAGTTGGGAACGTAACTGCAACAACGGAAGTCAGTATCATCCATGATGATGGCCGCATCGATCAGAAACAACCACTGTATTGGACAACGCTATGTTTCTATATATTCACAGCCTCGAAGTCCCTTCGGTAGCCGCAGTTACAGTGTATCGAGCACAGATTTCCTGCAAAGGGTCACACAGTGACAACGTTCGGAAAATATGCTCATCTCATTGCCGAATAAATACTGAATAAAGTTTGCAATCATTTTTAAATTAGTCCTTGCTTATTAACAAATGCAACGACCACCGGTACGCAAAGACGCCAATGTATAGATAAACAACTTCTTATATATCGTGTTGATATGTTTTTTGGGTCAGTCAGTACATCAGTATCAGCAGAGGCGGCAGAAGAAGCCAATCTTTAATAACGTGAAATCGTATTTTAACAAGGAGTTTAATCGATCAGGAAACCTTTTCGATAAACTTACACTGGCCAGTTTTGCCTAAAATCCGCAGTTTATGTTACCTCAGCTTAACTTAATGATGTTTGTTTATCTTCTTCACTTCAGTAATGTTTATGTGAGTGCGAATAACTTCATTCCGGTACTTCTGTACTAACCTAAACACCTCAAAAAACAACGATTGCCAAACTACTCCAAAAGTTTACAATAATTTAGATTTACTATGAAGGATAACTGAAGTTTGTTTGTTTGAACCCACGTAGAATCTTGCATTTCACCAAGTTGTTAATAGAATCAATTTGCATTAATATGGATTCGCAGTGACTGACATTCTTATTTCTTCTTACTTATGCTTCAGTCACGTCGCTCGCGTGAAGAAAGATAGTGCCCCAGTGCATGCAATATTTTAGTTAACCAAGCAGGGTTTCCAAACTTCTCTTAAAACCACAAAGTCCTGTTTCACCCCTAAGTAAATAGTTGACTCACTCGAGGCAGATCTGTTCATTGTTCCCCTTGTGTTTATTAGTTACGCTATTTAGTCATTTACACTGTCATATCGTTGTATTCACCTTCTTTATATGTCAGTCAAGCGTTACAACTCTGTTTAAGCATTGGGCCACTAGAAATGGGAGAGAAGCTGAAAGCTGTATCCAATGTCGAAGCGGCACTGACCAGTAGCCTCACCCTAGACAGGACTTAGGTACAAGCGCGAAGTAGGATGCCCATTAATTCAGGTATGTTGTCCACGAACCCGCATATCCTCAGCGTTTCGTTGTAAGCAACGTAATTCCTCAGTAGCTGGCCCGGCCTGCCGATCTCAACTAGACACGAGTCATCTCATCAACAAGCGGCTGAAGTTTTTTTTAGCGGCTTATGAGTCACACCGAAGAAGATCGACGCTGCTACTATCAACGACAAGCATTGTTGTTTATGTGGGATATATTACGTTACTGAAATACTATAGGCGCACGAATGGGTTGAAAGTGCGTATATGTAAGGCATCCTAATAATAACTTAAGCAAAGTAAGTTTAACAACAAGAAAGTTCTTCGATTCTTAAGTGGATGTTGTTACAGACAACAACAACAAGTAAAATAACTTTTAGTAACATCATTTCATCGGTTTTAGTGATTTACTAGGGGGAACGAAGCCAATTGCTTTGTTAGCATATGTCTTTCGATATTATATGTAAAATACGAATGGTCTGAAAATATTACCGAAGAACATGAATGCAATAGTCAATTGGAGAGTATGTGACAAGGACGGCATGTACGCGTGTTTCGCCTTCTCCGCGTGTCGAACATTCGCGCACGTCTTTTCAAAGGCATTAAAAGCTTTATCGATATCCTGTGCTTTCTGCAAAACGTATTAGTGAAAAAAGTGTTTTGAGCTAAGTATCTGGTTTGTGGGGAAGTGTAAAGGTTCTTTGAGTTTAGGACTTTTTCTGACCTAGATAGGTCTACCAGCATGTAGATAGCTAAAAATGGCGTTATAATAGTAATTGACTTGCTCGCGACCAGGCTTTTCTTCTGCAAATCCTGATATCAAAGCTATTTTATACCCTGACCTGTAAGAAAAACTTGACGTATGGTGTTCTCCATGTACTACTGAGCCGCATTGTGTGCCGCATCTCAAGCTACGTTTAACGGGATGTCCAAAAATTGCACGATTATTAAGGAATCTTTGTCCGAAAATATTTTCGAACGTGCCCAAGTTCCTACTATGAACTAGCGTGCAATACAGAGCAACGATGATAGTCAAAGTCATACGCTCCCTGGGGGGGGGGGGGTCTTACTGGGTGCCCTTTTTTTTGATATTATATAGTTAGTCTATCTTATACCTAGTCCATATAGTGAAACGTTAATATAAGGCGTTTCTAATAGATAATAAGAGATTATTAAGGAATGCTTTATTTTCGTACAGGCATCTCTTACGAGCCGATACTATAGGGATACGGAATTGTCAAAAGGTGGCGATTAATTTTGTGGGACACGTGGTCAAGATTCGAACTCGGGTATAGATGCACCTTGTTTCGTGCTCGGAGCCAATCGTCGAATGGAATGTCTACGAATTTTAGTATAAAATTACGATTTTAGATGTAGATATAGCATCTTTTATAAGGGGTGTGTCAAACGTGTTCGGTGTCTTTATTTGAGTATACTTAAAATAGAAAACAAAAATCGGTTTATGCGACTGTGTTTATTCTTATGAGAAGTCCAGCCCAAAAGGTTTACAAAAGTCTGCGTTACAAAAGAAAACAGTATCAGCCAAATGTTTCTCCAAGGACCGCTTGCACAACTCAGTCAGTTACGTGTAGTTTTGAACAACGTTTTTACCAATCATTATACGAGTGCGGTGTTCCAGGTCAGATATTATTTTTAGCGTGTTTCAAGTAATCTGAACTTCACGTAATCTTACGGGAAAGAAAAGTTAAATGACGGGACCAGGACGGCACTACTTCACATTGAAGTCAACCTCCTGCGAGCACGATTTCAAGCAAATTGATTGTTTTCCGCGTGCCGCGGCTAATTGGCTTATTTTTTCAACGGTTGTTTCCATTTATTTCGGAAGAAAGAGAGGCATGTAACATGTGACCATCGAGCTAGCAACTGATTGGTCCTGTCGTACCATAGTGAATTTCCAACAAACAGGGCTCAATGACACCCTGATTCAAAAGTGAAGTTTCGTGAGTTACGTTGTTGCTCAACACTCACGTTTGGGTTCTTCTAGCAACAATCTTATTTACATAGCGACTCAACTGAAAACGAGCTTCCATCATCTGCGGAAAAAATGGAACACAGACGTTCGATTTCTATATTTATAGACGACTATATTTATGGTGATTTCCCTGTAACGTACATTCTTTATACTGGTTCTGCATTTCGTCAATAAAATCTGGAGGAAATCTCGGTCGTCAATTAATTTTTTTCATTAAGCATACAAAATTCAAATTGGTGCCGATTGTCTAGTCACACAATTCCGCAGATGAAACCTACCTCGTCTCTCATGCTTGTACAACTTTTTTCAGGTGCTTCGTGATGAAATGACCATAGTTTGACGTACAATATTTTCCAGCTTTCCGTAGTGTTTATCTACTTGGAAATATAACGGCCCTATTCAAATAAGCATGCAGAAGCTCTAAATCATCCACAGTTTGAATTTTTTATATATATATTTTCAAAAATATGTCAATCTAAAATAAAATATGGAGACATGGAATACATAATTCACGTCTAATACTTTGGCTCTACAGACTGTATACACCTATATATATATACATGAAGTGGAACAATGTGCTGTAATAAAATATATAGCATAGGCAAACGTTTGCTTATCTGAGACATAACTGTAATAAATAGGCGAGAGATCGCAAAGTATAAAGCCCCTTCCGGGTCTTTGTCTTCCCTTCTACCGTTATTCCTAAGTGTGATTTCTGTGATCGAGAACACAGAGTAAAATAACGTATTATTAATCATTAAAGCGTATTTATATTACATATAGTAATTTACCGCTTACATATCTACTGGCGATATAAGTGAGTTGGCTATTTTTCCGCATTTTTGCTTAAAGGTTTGAATAAGTTCAATATCAGTTTGCATGGAAGTTATAAGTTATCAATATAAAGTCGACTGTTTCCAACACAGCTATATTCGCTAAATAGCTAATATATCCTTGTAGAAGGTGGAGAATATGTGTTAAATTTATGTCTATACTGAATAAGTACAACGAAAGAAATACACCGTGCACAAAAGCAGAATCCGTTACACCGGGGTATGAAATTATGACGTAACAGCCCACCCAGTAAACATTCTCGAAAGTTTATGTAAATGTTAAGGTAATATATATTATGGTTTTCAGAAATAACAGCATTTTTCGATTCAACAAAATAGATCGATTACTATAATAGGACTATTATCTCGTATTCTGACCATATCAATCTTTTATATATGTGCATAAAATAAACTTATCGAAAACTCTGTTCTTGAAAAACGCGTTCCTTAATTTAATATATACATATATTTTTTTAACTTAGACTTATTCACTAAAGTAGTATTTCGATAAAATTAAGGTTCATATCCTTAAGCATGTACGTGCTAACTTAAATAGGTATTTTAACAAATTTTGAACTGCCATGCGTCAGATATACACGCACCCTGATTCGTCCAATAGAATTGCCCCTTAGAGCGTTTACTAATCTATATTTAGGGGCAGCCAGGAGTTATTAAATTAACAGGGATGACATGTTTAACGACAGCGAGCAAGGTATACGGACGTGAACTGACGTGTTGGAAATAAACGTCATTAGTCCTAACGATGGCGTAAATAGTTATCGCTGGCAACGTCGCCGATTTTGGCGATATTCAAGCATTTTTGCTTTTCTTTTTAAATCTCTTTTTTTTTTGTTTATCTATTTTTAAATGCTACCCTTTTGTAGATAAGCCCTCATAATTATGAATTTCGGCGTATAGCATCAAGGACTCGTCCCCATTAGCAATCTAAGTGAAAACGATTTTATCGTATTTTTTTTTTGGGGATTTCATTGATAGATTGATGAAATCATATAGTAATCAAAGCATCTTCGCTTGACGTACGTAGGGGGCGCTTATCAACAGCCACTGTTTGAAGGGTTGCTATCTCGGGAGGGAAATGTTGTGGGTTTGTTATGTTTATTATTGTATTTGACTACTTATGATCTTCGGTTCGCTCAA